GGGCTGCCACTTTGATTACCCAAACTACATGTGGAAGGAGACTGTCTGGGAGCAACAGGCACTGACCTGAGTACCCTGGGGCATTGGCATTGCCCCTGTCCCCTCCAATGGATTTAATAGATCTATTCTGCTAAGGGTTAACCAACAGAATGCCACCAATATGTTTTATGTTAATACAAGGATTTGCTTTTGTGTTCATTGAAATTCATGCATTTTTCATAAATTGTTTTGATTAAAATACCACTAAAATATGTATATAGTGAACATTTCATAAATAATTCAAGAACACATACCTTAAATTTCAAAGCAGAATTTTCCAGACTATATATTGCCATCTGAACATTATTCATTTAAAAGTATTTTAAAAATACAGTCGGAGTAGAGATGTACTCCTACTGCTCAATTTTCTTGTATAGTGTTTCCAAATCATTAGTCACTGATTGATCACTGTTATTTTTAAAAAAAACCAACAAGAAAGGATATTGTATTATTCTAGTCCCGGTATTAGAATTTATTTTAAACATAATTTAAGGCATACAAAAATTTTACTGGTGATCTACTCTAGTTTATAAATGTAGAAGTGAATTGTTCAATGTGGTGTCTTGCATGGAAGTGTATGAGTTTGAAATACAAGTATAACTCAGTTAATGAAGCCGATGTGTTTCTGGGCATTACTTCTTTAGCAGAAATATTGATACCAGAAGTAGAAATACCATGTTGTTGTTGTTTATTCGTTCAGCTGCTTCTGACTCTTTGTGACCTCATGGACCAGCCCACACCAGAGCTCCCTGTTGGCTGTGGCCGCCCCTAGCTCCTTCAAGGTCAAGCCAGTCACTTCAAGGATAACATCCATCCATCTTGCCCTTGGTTGGCCCCTCATCCTTTTTTCTTCCATTTTCCATAGCATCATTGTCTTCTCCAAGCTTTCCTGTCTCCTCATTATGTGGCCAAAGTACTTCATCTTTGCCTCTAATATCCTTCCCTCCAGTGAGCAGTCAGGCTTTATTTCCTTGGTTATGGACTAGTTTGATCTTCTTGTGGAAGGAATACCATAGAAGGAATAAGTGCCTACATCACATATGCACACACACAAAGTAGTTCAACATGCTTCAGCAAACTTGTTTCTCAAAACTAACATTATGCTCATGTGAAATGAAACAAAGGTGGTGCAAAGGGATAATTCTTGCATGTCTTTTTAATTTGTAGATAAGCAGCAAAGATGAAGACTTCTTAGATCTTTCTGTTGATGTGGAGCAAAATACGTCAATTACACACTGTTTAAGGTATCTGACCATTGATTCTATCTTCTTACATAACTAATGATAACAGATGAAATACATTCAATTATGTGACTACCTTATGTGGGTTCATCCTTTGTTTCCATTTCATTGAACTGTGTATTCTCAGATAATTGAATCTAGCATTAAATACCATTGTGTCATTGTATTTTCTGTTGTTTGGGACCAGCAAGTTCGAAAGTATGTTATGTTGTACACATTTAATTTCAGACCATGCTCTGATGAGACATCTATTGGTTGTCAAGCTATTAGTATTATTTGTTCTTCAGGTTGAGGCTATTTTAGCATTTTGATGGATGTTCTTCTGTCTTAGGGGTTTCAGCAATACAGAAACTCTGTGCAGTGAATATAAATATTACTGTGAAGAGTGTCGCAGTAAACAGGAAGCACACAAAAGGTACATATTGAACGTTTTAGAGTTTGTTTGCAATTTGACCAAATATTTCTTTTTCTGTCATGTTTTGAAAGTTCAGTTTTGATAACTGGTCCAATAGGTACGCTGTCTCTACCATCCAAGATACTTGATGTTTAGTGGAATAGTTTGCTTAAAAGTCTGATTTCTGCCATACAGTTGTCTATATCTCTAACATTTTATAATCACATAAAATTCTAATCCATCCTTCACTGACTTCACTGTTGCATTTCATTTTAAAAATAATTAATCTCGGATTATCTAAAGCTCCAGATATTACTCTAATACCTAATATTTAAAAATAATACTATTTGCATTGCCAGCTTTGAGTAGCTGGACGAAATAATGTGAGTTGCTGTTACCACATAATCTTAGGGAGTAGAAAGTAAGAGTAGTAGCTTTTAAGAAATTTGACACTTTCATCTGTTTTGTGGGATAAAGGCTAACCATTACACAAGGGAATAATTTCAAATACATATTCTTCATTATTTTAGAATGTTAAGACATGTCACCAATGTTATTTCCATTGTATTCACACTGTTCCAAGAAAAGCCTTTCCATGATGATGACCTATGGTTGAAACTAGTATGAGCTACTGTGCTGAATAAAAATTCATAGTCTTCTGTATCCAAGTTGTGAATACAACTGAATTGTGGCAAATCAGTTTAAAAATATTTTGTCTTTTAAAAAATGCATTCTAATCTCATTTTCTCCTCAACATGACTTGCAAGCAGGCCCATATCTAAGCATTTTTGCATGTCTGCTTTTTAATAATTCTATTCCAAACTATCCAATTGCTTTTTAGTCATTGTTTTATATGGCTTGTAATTCATCAGCCAAAGATCAGTATATTAACATTTTTGGAAAGTGCTAGTACAGCTCTCATGGTTTTATTGTTATGTGCAGTTTCCTGTGGTTGGCAGGTGTTAATTGCTGAGAAAATGTGTTGATGTTAGGATTCATTTTAATCATATTTTGTGGCTGTGTTTACTTTTCAGTAAAACACACTGAGACTACATGAGATCTTGGACATGAGTGTGATGACAAGCTTAATTTTGTTTCAGGATGAAAGTGAAAAAACTGCCCATGATTCTGGCTCTCCATCTGAAGAGATTTAAATATATGGATCAGCTACATCGATATACAAAACTTTCTTACAGGGTAGTATTTCCCTTAGAACTTCGTCTGTTTAATACATCAGGAGATGCCACTAATCCTGACAGAATGTATGATCTTGTGGCTGTGGTAGTTCACTGTGGAAGGTAATAAAATGTGGTGTGACTCATAATTTCTATTGCCAGACTAGAGAATACCGGTATACCTCAATTAATGAAGTAGCTGTATTCCTGAATATTACTACTTTAACAGAAAATTTGGTAACACACAAAAATAACATGGAAAGGATGGGAATAGTTCAACATATTTCATCTGACTCTTATCCAAAACCAACAACATGAACATATGAAATGAAAAAAATACTAGGTCAGGTGAGCCATTTGTAAGGAAACAAAAACATATTTACCTAGAGACCAACTGAAAGCCTTTTCCAAAATCTATTCAGGAATTATTTTTCTTTCTTTCATCAGCCTCCACTCTTCTTATTATTTCTATTTTACTGCTAATTCTGGCCTGGTGGCACAGTGGATTAAACCGCTGAGCTGCTGAACTTGCTGAGCGAAAGGTTTGCGATTTGAATCCGGAGAGTGGGGTGAGCTCCCACTGTTAGGCCCAGCTTCTGCCAACCTAGCAGTTTGAAAACATGCAGATGTGAGTAGATCAATAGGTACCACTATTGCAGGAAGGTAAACGGTGCTCCATGCAGTCATGCCAGCCACATGACCTTGGAGGTGTTTACGGACAACGGCAGCTCTTTGCCTTAGAAATGGAGATGATCACCACCCCTCAGAGTCGGACAAGACTAGACTTCATGTCAAGGGGAAATCTTACTACTACATCTATACTTTTTAACATGCTGGAAACAGAGCATGAGACGAGCATATTTGCTTTTCCATTTCCTCTTCACATACACACGTTCAAGCATTCTGGAGGCAGCTCCTGTTTTCCTTGCCTGTAGTTGATACCCGTAGTAGGATCACCTAGAGTAGAATTCTGTTCTCTCCCAGCTCAAGCATTATTGCTATTTCAACCTAGTATTAAAAGTATGTTTCTCCAGCCCTCTTCCGCCAATTCAGATACCGTTCAAAAGAAATTCAGCTAAACATGATGTGGAGAAAAGGGGAAACTAGGCAAGGGAAAAACATGGAGCTTTGTTAACTGAGGTCTGCCTGTACAGATATGTTGATATCAGGATAACTATGTCTATAAACCTTCATAGTTTAATTATGTGATGGATTATGCTGTAGCATTGATGCTGGGCTCAGTTATAATATTGGTCTTTGGCTCTTGGCCCAGTCAATGATCGGAATATAGACTGTAGTCAAGAATTCAGAAAAAGATTTGGGGTTGGAAGGGCATCTGTGAAGGGACTAGGTAAGATTCTCAAATGTAGATAAAGAATACAAAAAAACCCAACATTATCCATACCATGCTATTTTTTATTTCAATATATAGTTGTGAAAGTTGGACAGTGAAAAAAGCCAAGAGAAATGAATTCAGTTTGTTTGAAATATTGTGCTGGAGGAGAGTTTTATGAATACCATGGACTGCCAAAAAGGCAAATAAGTGTATACAAGAGCAAATCAAGCCTCAACTCTCCTTAGAAACTAAGATGAATGATTTCATTTTGAAAGTTATTTTGCATCATTATCTTACTATAAGAAAGTGTTCCCAAAGTTGTCCTTGGGTATAAAGTTAATTGCTTTCTTCTTCACAGTGGACCTAACAGAGGACACTATATTGCAATTGTGAAGAGTCATGATTTTTGGTTGCTTTTTGATGATGACATTGTAGAGGTAAGGATTGTTATAATTTGTTACTCTAAATTGCTGAAAATTATTTTATACGACCAGTTCTGTTTTTATTCCTTAGTTTTAGATTATCTCTAAGATAATAGAAATGTTTGAAGATAAATTCTGCCCTAATCAAATGGTCATGGAGCTTTGCCGTCTTCCATGTACTTTTTTCTTAGTATGTTGTCTTATAAATGTAAAAAGATTTTTTCATGCTAGTGGTTCAGTAATGTAAATATTTAAGAACTTATTGCAGATCAGTTAGAATGGATTCTATCTATGCCTCTCTAGGAATCATATATTTTCATTTTGTTTCAGAAAATAGATGCACAAGCTATCGAAGAATTCTACGGGTTGACATCAGACATCTCAAAGAATTCAGAGTCTGGTTATATCCTTTTCTATCAGTCTCGGGATTGACTGCGTCTCTAGTGAAAAGTGACTTCCTGCCTTCTCTTTTCTGGAGGAAAGAAGAAAATACTAACCTGTCTTTATAAAAAAAGAGGAATGGAGAGACTCAGGAGTGGTAGCATAGTTTGCACAGAACAAAGCCATGGTTTCAGAGAGGCGTTCTTCAACAATTCATATCATGTTCGTTTAATTTCTCAGGTGTCTTGCTGAGAAGGCTGATCCACCAGAAATGGCCAGTGGGAACAGAGAGGCCAGGCATTCTTGTCAGAGCTTGCTATCCAGCAGCTGAAACTATATATAGAAAATGTGATTAAAAGTCCATTTGAGCTAATGGACATATTTTTATGTCTACAGCGTGCTTTGGAATTTTGCTTGTACTTGAAGAAAGTGCAACAAAAGCAAAATCATGTTTGACATGCTAATTGTTTTGTTCCTTCTGTTTATTAAAAGTGCAGGTGATTTTTTTTGCACTTATTTTATCTATGTTCAGTTTCTGAGTGTTTTGCACACCAAATTAAAGAAAGTCATCGTAGCAGTTGCCTTCCTGGCCAGAATAAATTAATAGAATTTGGTGTTGGTACTAGAATCAAGAAGGCAAGTATGCTCTGCTTCTGATGAGAAGCTTACATTACAGTGATATGTATCTCTGTGGAAATAATTTTGGGTTTTAAACTTCCTATTGGGAAGAATTTGGTTTATAACTATGATTTTATTTTTATTTAAGCATTACTGCAATTTATAAAGGTTCTGTATTTTGTATTCTCAAATCCAACTGTTTTTGGATTCCAGATTTGTCTATAAGCTGATCAGACTAAGAATATTGTAGTTCATTAGTCATTTAAGAAATTTATCTTATTTCTCAATGACACTTTCAATACCCAAAGTAACAGGAGATGAACTGAGATTTTGCTTCTTCCATGAGGAGTATCTCATTCTATATATTTAACATGGTTTATTTAAGGAGCTTGAAATTAAACTTTCCTCTGGTATTTTAAAACAGACAACTCGTTTTATTACTGTAAGATGCTAGAATATTGGTAATGTGCCAGGGGTTTTGTTCTGTTCTGTTTTTTTCCTTTCTGTTTTAAATCTTTCAAAATAATTTACTGCAATGTAGTAAAATGATACACGTGTCCAGTCCCAGGAAGACCAGAGAGACTAGTATATGTGTAATACTGGACTTAATTGTGGCATTAACTGAAAACAGCTTCTTGGTTTTTTTGGTTTGTGGTTGCAGTGGATGTATACATCCTAGATGAATATTGGATTAAACATTCTGACAGTAAAGATGTGACTAAAGACCTCTTACAATCCTGTAATGGCTCTAACCAGTAATTAAAAAAAAAAGTAATAAAATTGTCTGTAAGATTTGATTGGAGCCTTACAATAATATAGAACTGTGGTCTTCTAATTGATGCTTTGTACGTTATCATTATGTTGTCTGACAGTCACTGAATGTAACTTCATACAAAAACAGATTGAATGCACATTCCTAATAAGAGCAATTATGCCTTGTTATTTCTGTGGATTTTTTTTATTGCCATTTTGTTTTGTTGGCCATGTTAAAATATACATTCGTTTTCTGTCTGCTGCTATAATTAATGCATTTACTTTACCTGTTTTATTTAGCTCAGGAAAATGACTTCTTGTACACAGACCGATTTTCAACAAAGTTCCCAAGTGAGCTTTTTTTTCCAGCAAACATGAAAGGGGTCATGTCAAATTTTTTAAATCATTTTTATAAAAACAAAAGTTTTTGAAGCCTCGTTTTGGCCTTTTTTCCTTATTATTTGTAATAAACTTGCTTGACAGAAATACCAGCATTGCAAAATGACCATTACAAGCCTTTGAGGGAAGAAAATTGTGAGGTGTTCTAAATGTGCAAATTATACGGCCATGTAGGGTGAGATTCTGTACATGCATCCCTAATATCAAGCCTAATTAAACTCCATGAAACTTACTTCTGAGTAGATCTGTATGAGATTGCTTTATTACGATACTTGAACCCGGGCCTCCTTTCAACGTGGTTCCACAAACACTAGATGGCTTTGGCTCTTGTAGCCATTTGCTAAGAAAGAATGAATGTGAAATGGTCTAAACCCAGGGCTGAGCATCCATAGAAGCTCTTAGGGTCATCTCACATAGCTTGCACTCACCACAACACTTGTCAAAACCAGAGGTTTCTGGTCATTTCAGGATAGCATTTTTCACTTTTTTTGGATCTTTAGAGCATGCTGTGAAACAGTAAAAAAGTGAATAATTGCAGTTCTTTGAGGCCTCTGGAGTTACAGTGCTCTTTTAGGAAAATATATTCTTTTTCTCTACAAGGTGTGGATGTCATACCTAAGGCAGCAAGCATGTCTAAACTCTATTGGTGCACAGAATGCTCTTGAAGTAGTTGAAACACCTTTTAAGATACTTAAATAACTAAACAGGACGTCGTCCGGAAGTCCATGCATGCCATTTTGAACTCATTGGAGAAAGTGTGGGATTTAAATTCAACTATCTAATGAGAACTAGCATGAACTAGGAGTGTTGGACTAGGATCTAGGAACCATGGTTCGAGGAAAAATTGGCAAAATTCCTTCTGAAGAAATCATGCCAAGAAAACTCCATAAATCGAAAACATTGGGAGAGAATGCTTCTAGAACATGGCCATACAGCCCGAAAAACCAACAACAACCCAAATCGGAAACAACTTCAAGGAACACAACAGCAACAAATTAAACCATCTTATGGTTCATGGCAATTAGTTGTGTCACTTTAAGCACTGAAGTATACATAGTTTTGGTAAGCCTCATTGTTAAGAGGAACTATACACTTAAACGTTATTATTTATATTTATTATTATTTTACTGACACTAAAACACAGTATGACACAGCAAACGAGATATATATGCTGAATTTCATATCACCAAATTATTATATTTATATGCCAATCTCCTCCAAAGGGGACTCATTTGTCCTTTTGAGATGGTTTTGTTTCAGGATACTGTAACGGAAATTCATAATTTCACATTATGAGGGGAACTGCAGCAAATCCTGAGCTCAATTTTGCTTCCTTGTCACACTTAACTCAGATTGTTTCATGTGAATCCTGCAGACTGTTCAGCTTTAGTTGAGATTTGTTGAAATAAATGATTTCATGTTGTATAATGCATACATGGTTTGCATTATACAACATGATTAACTAGTTTAAGGTTCAGAAGAAACATCTACTTAGTTTAAAACAGAAGTTAAACTTCCGATTGTCTCACTCTAAACAAAAAGAGAGAGAGATCCAAGGTTCTCTGCAACTCAGTTTTGTAACACTAAGCCACGATGTAGTATTAGATATTAACTTTTTATTGTCTAAAATTCAGCGAATCATTACATTCACGTATGTCCATGAACCTTTACCTAGGAAACCTCTTCTAACTTGTTTCTTTGCACTCTGACCAGAATGCAACTCTGTAGCTTCCTTGACATCAGAGAGCGCAGCACTTTAGGAACAAATCACTTCTTTGAGTCCCAGATTCTGATGGTGTTGAAAACACGTTAGATGTCACGTATTAACTAGAATCAAACTACACCTTCAGTTTAAGAAGAACTCAAAAGTACAAGTAGTCACTTCAACAAAACTGTATTTTCTGGCATGTAGGACTACTTTTAACCCAGGAAAATCTTCTCAAAAATTGGGGGTCGTCTTATACACCAGGTGTCATCTTATAGGGCGGGTGCTGAAACTTACGAGCCGGATTGGAGAATCTGTGCTCACTGCATATGGTGAGGGGAGCTCAAAAACGGCTTCACCCACATCCTCACTGTATACGGCAACTGTATGAAAGCAGCAAGGGCGGTGCTGTACAAGTACGATAGAAGAAAATAAATTCACCATGATTCATGGGAAGAAGTGACTTAACGCGGTCGCGATGATGAGGTGAGGGGGCGCCTCACCGGGAAGGTATAAGTGAAGGACGGAGCAAGCTGAAGGTATCCGGGATGCCTGGGGTATGCAAAAAAGAGAGTGGCACTGTGCCCAGAAAAACACTCCTCTGGCACACCCTTGTATCCTATTACTGTACTTCCTTCTCTACCTCTCAGATCTCACTCCTGAGGACTGCAGTGAAGCAGTGCAGGCTTTTGGTGTGTGTTGGAAGTCTTATACAGCAAGTATATCCCAAAATCTATATTTTAACTGGAAAAGTTGGGGGTCATCTTATACACCAGTCTTATATGCCAGAAAATACAGTAAATACATACTAAGGATCGAGGGATCCTTTGGGACACTACACACATACAGCTGCTGCTGCTTTCTATGGGAATATAAAATGAAGTATCTAATACCTTCTCCAAGTAGTTTCTCAGTGTGGAAGTCACAGTCTTTCTGATCTGATTCCCCAGCGCAAAGCATTCTTTCAACACTTCTTTGTGAGTACACAAAGTATTTAGATGGAGAAATTATGACTGGGACTAGAGTCCCTATTTTATGTATGGGGGGGGGGGATAACCTATGTCATCCCTATTTTTAAATTTTTAATATTAACTGTCCAAGCTGCAAAGCATTTTAATTGACTTCCTCATTTTGTCATGCTGTTCTCATGCTGTTGTATAGCCAATGTAGGTAGGAAAACAGTATGCAATGCTGAGTTTCATTGAAACAGGTAAGTTGTGTAAAAGCTGAAAGCATTTTTGTTTTGTAAAGTGGATGCAGTGTTCACTAAAACATTCATTAAGCTCATGTCAATGGCCTATATATCTTCCTACTATACTTTATCATGTAATGCACTGAACTTCTGGCTCAGACTTCTAGGATTTATTGTTTGAACGTTCCATCAACTATCTTGTTCTTGAACACCAGCTGAGCCCATTGGCAATCTGAGCCAGAACAGTGTGTAAACAAAAATGTTCTTTCTGTTAATGATCTATAAATGTGTTTTGAAGTCAGTGCCGGATCAGGGATGTTCTGGAAAATACGCAATGTCTGTACTCATTTTCTAATGACAGGCCATCAGACAGGAAACCTCACTTTTGACTCACATTGCTGTCATGGTATGTCACTGTTAAGTAGTGTTTCTTGGCATCTCT